ATTCAAAAGTTTACTAATAATTTTAAAAAATTTTTATAATAAAGTTTATAAAGTATGTTTTCAAGAATATATTTTATTTTATTTTTTTATTTTTTTATTTTTTTATAATCAAAGCTAGCCTCTTTGGCTTAGAACTTTTATTAGATATACTAGAGATCACTGGTTGCTGCTGAAGAGCCCCAGATATAGTACAATTCAACAAAGATATACATGGACATACATACAACTTTAGTCATTGTCTATTTAAAGGCTCCGCTATATTACTATAATTACCCTTCATATGCCATATCTAAGATCTGCTTGTGGATCTCCTATTTAAACTCTCTGATCTTGAACCATCCTATACCAATCCAATCTAATCTCACCTTGGGCATAAGGTATATAGTCATTCTATATCTTCCAGATCATCGGCTACCATCTATAGAACAACCATTTCTGGTATATTCTTGAGACATCACTTGCTAGAGCAGTCTGGTACCTACTATTCCCATAATACCTAGTTTTTTCAGTAACTTATGCTGAGTCTAAGGACAAGTACTTGCAAGCCAAGGCTACTACCATTATCTACTTAGCCCTTATAGAATTCACCCAAATCCCAGTACTCCTTTTCAAGTCTACCTGGTACCTTTCACTTTCAGTATCACCTAGCTAATCACCCCAAACTACTAATCTAGATAGCTCGGAAGGGATACCAGTCCCCTGGTATCTGCATGCAGATCCTTTTTCTCTGGTCGATGCTCCGGTAGCCTGGTTGGTAAAGTACTCTTGCCAAATACCTAGTCCTTGTTCAGTTATATTAATCTTGAGTGTATTCTATGCAATTTTTAAATCTGTGCTCGATTTAGTCACAGGGTGTATGTTTGTATAACATCTACTAAATATCGATTTATCTAAGTAACTATAGTAATTATTAGCATATAATATATTATATGTTGACAGCAGGTTAACAATTCGAAAAACCGGGCTAAGCGCAAAACTACTCATGTATCTAGTTTCTAGGATCACAGAGTACACATGTGTATATACGCATGTACGTAAGTATAAGTAAAGTTATGCAAACACAAGCTACCCAAAACCAGATATAAATACTCAGGATTAGCCATTCAACAAACTCTGCTTGAAACCGTGACACATTGTATTCAGCACACTTCTAATAATCATAGAGAAAACAGCATCAACAGGCAACACATCGGTGGTATACTCTAACACAGAACATCCCAATATTGATGAAACCACAAAGGCGTATATTGACAATGCATGTAAAACGTTATCTAGCGCCATTATTAGTACTATTAAGACATATATTGACCAATCAATAGCAATACAAATAGAGCTAATAAACAAGCTGAATGAACGACTAGACTTCTTCAACCAACAGCAGAAACCAGACCCCAAGGCAGCTCAACACAGCAAAACAGTAGCCCAAGTCACAATCATGACTTTGACTTTACCTCACTTCAATAAGCAAATAGCCAAAACAAGAAAGCATCAACACAGCAAGGTTATTGCCCACTAACCCTCTTACTAAATAACCTGTTGATAAATTCTGGAACCACCAGCCCACAAAGCAAGACCCAACCAACAATCAGCATGGCCCCACATCAACGAAGCAATAAAAATCAAAATGACAGTGTGAAGATATTCTTTCATTGAGTATCTAGTAGAACTTCCCTCGGTACATGGATTTAGTAACAATCAAGCAGCCCAAACAGAAAGAATTCATTTATGGTAGGTTTTTAACTGGACCAATAGTCAAAGAATAATTAAAATATTATCCAATAAACCAAGCCTGCCAATGCAGCTATAGAAAGCAATTGTACATGGCTCCTATGTTGACCTCCATGACTTTGCAAACAAAAATCTGAGGACATACCTTAAAGATAATGAAAACGATCAATCTCTAATAATGGCAGAAAGTAGCATTATCACAGTTCGCAAGTACAACCGGCCCCAAAAGTTCAACAACATCTCAGAATAGTTCTTGGCATTTAAGTCATACATAGAAGCAGTGCTAATACTATATGACATAAGGGAGCACAAACTAAACAAATATCGTGATCACGTAAATACCCTTTGTATCAAGCACGAATTCTTTGCAATCTTGGGATACGACAAAAATCATTGACTGTACCTGACAACAAATCAGAACACTTCTTTACTTGAACAAAATATCGAGGCCAAGGGCAAAAATTTTGACGTAACTATCATGAAAAGGTTCCGCACTAATAGCATCCCACCAAACATCAAAACAGACATTATATGGAGTGATAGAAGGCAAATATACTTAAATTAAAATCGTAAAGGATGCCCGAAAGAAACTGAGTGCCAATGTGTCCACGCTTGCTTGGTGTGTAGAAAAATCGGACATCCAGAATGAAGATGTTTCTATAAATTCACAGCAACTAGACAACCAGAGACTCAGAACCAAAGAGCAAATAAAGATCAATGATCAGCCTAGCTTACAACTATAATAAAGAGAAATAAAAGAAGAAATATACATACAGACAATAGATACATAATGTATAAAAAAAAATAATAATAATAAAAATAAAAAAATATATATATATATATAAATAAATAAAATAAGATAAAATAACAGAACTCAAACTGCAAGGGCAATAGAACAATAACAAAAAAAAAAATAAATCAACAAGCACAGCAACAACAAAAAAAAAAAAACAATATCAATAACAATAACGATACGAACAGATGATGGAAAAGAGCTAAGAATAACCCCCTAAACATACAACACTTGGCAGAATGACAGATGACGACCAAAACAAGACAGCAAGCATATGCGCAAAAAAAAAAAAAAAAAAGAGAACCAAAAAAAAACTGACTAACCAACACTATTCACAATGGCTCACCTACTAGAGACAAGAACTCAGCACATGAAAGAAGCATTTAGATATGTGGCACAGTTTAAACTATTGTGCAATATCATGACAGATAAGATTCCGGTGCTGCAATCTGTCAATAAGACTATTATGGTGATGCCTCCCCTGATCTACCCTTAACAAACATCGAACGGATGCTATTATAGAAACTGTATTTAGGGTTATGCCCAAGAATGTGATAGTTGTTCCGGGCCTTCTAATT